CAGGCGCTGCCTCCTCTGCAGAGGACATGTTGGTCGGGTTTAGGAGTTCCTCAAAGTGCTCTTTCCACCGCCCGACGATGTCCTCCGTCCGGATTAGCAGTTCCCCCCCCCTGCTGAGAACAGCCTGGGGTAAGCCCTGCTTTCCCTTCCTGAGCCGTCGGATGGTTTGCCAGAACCTCCTTGAGGCCAACCGAAAGTCCTTCTCCATGGCCTCCCTGAACTCCTCCCATGCCCGAGTTTTAGCATTCGCGACCACCGCAGCTGCAGCCCTTCTGGCCTGCCGGTACCTGTCAGCTGCTTCAGGAGACCCCTGGGCCAACCAGGCCTTGAAGGTCTCCTTCTTCATCATGACGGCTTCCCTCACCTCTGGTGTCCACCACCGGGTTCTTGGGTTGCCGCCACGACAGGCACCGATGACCTTCCGGCCACAGCTCCGAGCGGCGCGTCCACAATAGAGGCTTTGAACATGGTCCACTCGGATTCCGTGTCCCCAACCTCCCTCGGGATGTGTGAGAAGTTCTTCCGGAGGTGGGAGTTAAAGACCTCCCGGACAGGGTCCTCCGCCAGACGTTCCCAGTTTACCCTCACTACACGTTTGGGTTTGCCGGGTCTTTCCAACCGGTTCCCCTGCAATCTGATCCAACTCACCACCAGGTAGTGATCAGTTGACAGCTCTGCTCCTCTCTTCACCCGAGTGTCCAAGACATATGGCCGCAAATCAAATGATATGATTACAAAGTCGATCATTGATCTCCGGCCTAAGGTGTTCTGGTACCAGGTACACTTATGAGCCACCACCAACAGCAGGATTTTAAAGTCAATTCTTTGTTGGACAGGAAGCCAGTGCAAAGACCTCAGAACTGGAGTGATGTGATCCACTTTCTTGGTCATAGTGAGGACTCGAGCTGCAGTGTTCTGATTGACTTTTTCAAATCCTGTTGAGACATAAACCCTCTATTCCTTGATGTATTCTTCAGGTGATAGTAGGCTGATTTTATAATTGTCTTGATATGGCTGTTCAGGTTGAGGTCTGAATCCAGAGATGTAACGCTTTGTCACAACCTCAGTTTGGACATTTGTGTGCAAGGAGATTGCACTCTCAAAGAAAACACAGGAATGATCATAGAGTGCAACATCAGTCACAGCAACATTAGAAATGTTTACACCTTTGGTGATGATTAGGTCCAGAGTGTGCCCCCTGTTGTGGGTGGGTCCTGTCACATGATGAGTCAGATAGTTATCAAGGACACCACATAGTTCTATAGACCCTCTGTCCTGGGGATTATCAACATGGATATTAAAATCGCCAACAATAACAACACAGTCAAAATCAATACAGATTATAGACAGCAGTTCAGTAAACTCATCAAAGAAGGTTGCACAGTATTTAGGCGGTCTGTAAATGTTTAGGAATAAAGCTCGAGTGGAATTCAGAGCCACATATTCAAAAGAACTAAAATGACCAAAGGACATTTGCTTGCATTGAAGAGAATCGTTAAATAAAATAGCACCTCCACCTCCTTTCTTATGTGCTCTTGTTCACTCATGAAACTGAAGCTCTGAGGTGTTGATTCAATAAGAACAGCTGCACTGTTATCTTGGTCTAACCAAGTTTCAGTTAAAAACTAAAAGTCCAGTTTGTGCCTAACAATAAAATCATTGATTAAAAATGTTTTTCCTGACAGAGACCTGACATTTAATAAAGCTAAGTTTAATGTGTTTAAAGCTTTATTTGCCCAATTTATTTGGACAGGCTGACGAGGAATGAATGTTAAGTTTGATGCGTTTGCAGATTTACTATTGTTTCTTCGCAGCCTCACCTTTCTTTTTCTATAAACTATCAGGACAGGAGTTGAGAAGGCTAGCTGCATACAGGGCCCCGACGTCTCCTGGAGAGAGTCATTGTGTCATTAGCCTTGTAGTCTGGACCCAGAAGATATCAATTATTGCCTTTATCAGGTAGGGGAGACAGAGGATGGTTGTGCAGCCGTAGTGGAGGTGGGGGACGGGCAGGGCACTTTAACTTCGCCGATTGTGTCAAAACTGTTCCCATACCTCCAGTTCTAGCCGCTGCCGCCTCCAAGCTGCAGCGGGTTCCAGTTCCAGTGGGCGTAGTGGGTTATGCAAATTGACACATTTTTGTAAGTGACGACGTCGATTACGCCGACAACACGCCCCAGCCCTAGTTTACATTGGAGTTAGTTGAAAACCTGGGGCCTCTTACCAAGCGTCGGTATTTGACAAGCTGGGAGTAACAAGGGGTTTGGCCACTAGTTGAAACTTAGCCTGTATGCTGTTTTGTGCCAAGCAGGTAGTGTACAATGGGTTTATCAGAGCTTTTATGACGAAAACAGCTGCTGAAAATGAGTTGGATGTATGCTGTGATAGTCAACCAAACACCTGTGGTGGTCTTAAAACCAAAACAATGAGTTGAAAATGCTAAAAATGCTCTGTAGAGCTGAGTGGAACTGTGATCTGGTGATAATTATCTGTGGGTCATTTGACACAAGCATCCCTTGAAAGGACTTTTTTCTCACCTTTTATTTTTTTTGCAGGACCCATGCACATTTTGATAGTTTGTTTATTGGATGAAATCCAAAGTGGCAGAAATGAGGAAAACAACTTCTCTTTCTTTGTTTCGTCTCTCCCACAACCAGGAGACTACTTGGCCTACTTGGCCAGTGCAGAACTATAATTCAGATCACATTTGCTTCCTTTGATCTCCTTTAACATTTACAATGAGAACCACCACCAACAGCAACAAGCACGTTGCAACTAATGGAAAACCCTGAAATTGAGTTGTGCATAAACAGGGTTCCCATGCATCCTGGAAAACCAGGAAAACAGTCGGCCAATTTGTATTCAATGATTAAGACATGTACTTTAATATGAATAAGGTGCAGAGTGCATTTATAAAAAACATTAAAATAGAGTTTTTTATTTTTTTTTTAATTCCCACGCGAGGATCCCCACCGACCCCCCTACAAAGGTCAGAGCTAAGCCCAGAATGTCTCAAATAGTAAAACGCCCACACCCCCAAGTCCCGTCACATGGTAGCAATGCATTCAGGGTGACATTACACAACGTTGCTTTCTTCTCAACTCGTTTTAATTGTTGAATTGTGTTAAATTCGTTAGCATGTTTGGTTCAGTTGCTGAAGTTGATGCGTTTGCTTGCTTGCTTACATCTGCAGGTGTGTTTGCATTATTCCATGATCAATTTGTCATAACTTCTCAGCATAAAGAGAGGATTTCATAGATAAGTTATAGCCATAGACTGCATGTCTTTTAAATCAGACTTCCACAGCAAGAAACATATGAGTATATGGCGCTATCCCTGTCTGTCATACCAGCTTAGATCATCACTGAAAATGTCCTGGAATAATGATCTCCAGAAAAAGAATGGGAGCCCTGATAAGCCATGTGCAAAATGTTGCTCAATAACAATAGGAGTCTGAGGACTAAAGTGACATCATCTCCAGAGCTGACATATTTTATGAACGTGATCCGTCCTCTCTTTCCTCCTCCCAACTGGGTCACCTTTGTTCAGGTGAAAGTGATGAGTCACTGCCTGTTCTCAGTAGTCCTCTGATGATGTTATCTAACACACCTTTACTGCTGTTCTTCTGGGCCACTTGCAGTAGCTCAGATGAGACATGTTACCGTGAGAGAAACATTGAAAAGTACATCCTCTTTCGGGCCGGAGCATGGATCTGTTGTCTAATTGCGGTGGTGGTGGCGTTTTTGCCTCCCTGCCAACATCTCCGAGATTAGCTCTGATGGGTCAGCAGGAGTGCACCGATACATTTAGATTTCGATTTACTTCTGCTTGTGTGATCGTTAGAGGGAGGGATGTCTTTGAACAGCGTCCTCTGATTTCCTGATTTGTGACAGAGCCGTTCATCCATGAAACAGCCCGATGATGGTGGACGGATCCCAAAGAGCAGATGCTCAGAAGCGGTGTCTGTCAAAATAATGCTTATCGTAACAACAACAACACATTACCATTCTGTTTGTTGACAATCTCTCTGAATGCTGACATCATGCAGCATTCAGAGATGTCCAAAGAAACAAGTCTTTCAACCCTGGTCCTGTTTGATCCAATGGAAATAAGAAACAGTGTGTTGTATCCAGGCAACAGGTTTGTTGCCAGGTGACAGATACAGAGGTCCTGAGACCAGAGACTGCGTGCAACAATTCCACATGAATAAGACAAGACAGAGCATCAGTCACCTCCTGCAACTCACACATTTTCTTTACCATTAAAGCAAACGTTACGCGTCTGTTTGCCATCATATGAACAGTGAGCTTGCTTCTCCGTTAACGGTTACAAATGCTGCAACAAACACTGTACGTGAGATGAAGTGACCGTAAAACTCGATTGCAGGAAACTGATCGCAAACCTTTATCAGCACGCCTAATTGCCGCATGGAATCATGATGTACACACTGGCGACTTACTAGAGAAGACATAACTGCCAGCATATGTAAAAAAAACACAAAAAAAACAGCCATAAGAGGTGAGATTATTGTTAAACACGTTTCTGCCAGAACGCCAGGCCTTTCATGTGGCAGCCATGAGCAGAGATAATGATTTCCAAGGCACTCCGGCTGACAAATCCACCACCACCATTAAAGGCTTCCATTCTACCCCGGAGCTGTGTGGGGAGACTGTGTACTTTCACTTTGATTTATATGCAGCTGCTTTAGTGTGTGTGTGTGTGTGTGTGTGTGTGTGTGTGAGGGGGGGGGGGGAGGGGTGTTTACTGAGGTCTGTTTAGCCAAATATAACACTCAGTTTGTAAAGCAAATATTGGGTGTTAAACCGTATGCTAGTTTACTGTTCCTGGTGTGCATGGAACATGAAAACTGCACTTATCCATATTTTTTAACAAAGGATCACATAACTCCACATAATTGTGTGTAATGGGAAAGATACCCAGTAGTGACAAAACGCCAGAAAGCTCGTTCTTTTGGATTTTACTCGGCTTTCATTAAGCAAAAAGCAAGTTCTGACAAGTCCATTGTATGTTGTCTGCCCAGCACCAAAGAAAAGAAAGACAATGTTAGCAACTAGCTGGCGAAGAAATCTGATGTTTAGAAGCCTAAGTCCCAGTTCATTTTCTCAGGAGTTGGTTGAGACCAAACAAGAGTGAATGTTGGATAATATTTCATCAGGTCACCAGAAACACGACTCCAAATACGCAACTGTTTGCTAACACGTCAGCCGCAACAACTGGGTGTTATGTCACATGTTGTGTTTACGTGTTTCTCTGTGCCCAAAAACATGTGTTGATGCAGCTTTAACGGTGCTTTAAATGACAGTGTTAATTTAGCCGCAAACAGCTATCATCTATGTGAAGATTTAGTGAAGTAATGTCTAACCGAGCAGAGAACGAAGTCACTCTTCCTCTGTGTGTTGTTATCCGAGCTTCTCCTGGCTTTGTTGACGTAGCCGAACGTAGTTCTTTGTTGATTTGTGCTTTTAGTGCATGTGAGCGTGCCCCACTGGTGCCGGCGGTTACAGCTGAAGCATAGCGCCCACCCTCCAGTTCTCTGTCGCATAAACATTGTTAGCTCTGCAAGCACTGTTAGCGCTGTTTGCACTGTTAGCTGCGAGCCACCAGCTCAGCCGTCGCCATGCTGAGACGTTGAGGCACTAGAAATGCTGCCATTCTCGTATATTTTGATCTTTTTTCCGAGAACGTTTGATGGTAAGAACCGTGTTGCTAAGCTAACATAACTTAATGTAGTCTTTTTATCCATGCACAGTGAAATTCCCCAATTGCTCATGAACTTAACACAACTAACTAAAATAACTTGGTTTTAACTATCCTTGTAATTAGTGCTAAATGACATAGTTCATGCCAGGAAAGTATCATGTAATGATTCGAAAATAATGGCCTGTAAACAAAACGGTTATGAATAATTTTTCCTGATATAAAGATGGGCATTTTTGTGTTTTTGTTGTTTGCAGCCCTCTTTAAATGGAACACTGAACATGGACACGTTTCAGAACACCATCAAGGACAAAAACATTCATCCATATTTGACTCCTTGTTTTATCAAAGAACACCACAGCCATGTACACACACCATGCCACCACCATAATCAGACATTTGCTGCCACCCATTTGTCAAGTCTGATAAATGCAAGAATAAATACATTCAAAAAGATGGAGACACTGTGCAAATCTGTCTCCCCCGAGAAAAGCCTGTTTCTTAAATCAGAACCACTGGTGGATGTTTAACGCATCTGAAAGTGACTGGAATTGCACAAAATACTCTATGAGCGATTGGTACATTTGATCAATGCAAGTGTTTGAGGAGTAGTGGACGGGGATATACCTACAGTATATGGATACATGAAAAACCTCATCACCACCTGTTGGCCTTCAAAAGAAGCATCTTTTCAGCCATAGCTTTTGGTTTCCTTGGCCCAGTTTTGCCTCCGTCCCAACACAGTAATTGGTTTGAATTGGTGCTCACAGTAACAGCATTAAAAGAATTTATGAAATATCTTCAACTGCACTTTATTTATGGTCCCAGTTTCTCTTGATAATCTACCAAACCCAGTAAACAGTGTTTGGTTTGTCCATTCTGGGCTACCGTAGAAACAAAGCGGTGCAACATGGTGGACTCTGTGAAGACCCGCTCCTAGATACGAGGGGCTCATTCTAAACTAATAATACGATTCTTAGTTTAAGGTGAATATACTCAAAATGAAAACAGTTATGAATAAAGTATTCCATTTCTGATAATAGATCCTCCTAAATTGTACCCAAAGGAACTTTAAGTGATATTTTTGTAAGTTTATTTATCTCTCTTATGTGGCTTAATTTCTGAATTGATTTTGATATCACAGTACATATTTGTATATACCGTTTGTATATTGTGTATAGCACCTTCCATCACATGCTTCTTCTGGTATACAGTGTATTTACTAACAGATTAAACTACTTCTTGTATTGTATCCTTTCATTTACTTGTATGGGATCAATACTTTATCTAAACATCAGGCACTTGGTCCTCGTGATAGTGTGTGTCTGCCATCTAGTGGACAAACGTCTGAGAAACCAACGTGATTCTCTGCGATACTCAGCCCAACCATCCTGAACTGCTGAAAAACACTCAGCTTTCAGGGACTGATTCTGTATCACAATGCTTCTGGAATTAATCTACAGTGAAAAACCCCAGTGAGCAATCATTGGAATTTGAGGCAATTGTACTTCAGTCACCTTTATTTATGCTGCACACAAATTATTTTAATAAATCCAGATTTCATTCTATCCTAATGAAACCTTGTAAAAAAAAAAAAAACTAAAAAAAAAAAACTATATTTGAGAACTAACAAGAGTGCGTCACTGTTACTCCAATAAGCTTCAACAACATAGGTGCGTTTTTGATTAGTAAAAACTTGATTGAATGGCAAACAACATTTGTATCTCAAATCACTGTTTACATGTGCTGTAACCTACAAATCCATGCTGTACCGAACGAAACCAATATTACTTTTAACATAAGCTGTCCTTTTATTGCTATGGGAAAAAAAGAAAAAGGGACACTCCGGTGAGATTCTGTACTTGGTAGAGAATGTACTTATGCAGTGTGGTGTTGTACTTTTAATCCTAAATGTCCTTGTTCAAACCTCCCAGAGTTCAGACAGCAGGCATCCCTCAAAAGACCTCCAGGTCTGCAGAGTTGTAGACCACCGCTGCCGTCTCCTCAGTGCCCACAGCAGCTTCCTCCTGACCCTCCTCTTCCTCTTCCTCTTCAGCAGCGTCCTCTAATGACTCCAAGGCCTCATTAGTGTCACTGGCGAAAGTCTCCCTGGAGACATCGTCGTGCTCCTGCAGGTTCAGTGTGCCGATGGCCTGCTTCATCTTCTTGGCCACCATGTGCCGCCTCCTCTTATGGGCGGCCTTCTTGCTCTTGTAATCTTTCTGGTTTTCCTCAGAAAATATCTTCCGGACCTGGGACTTGCTGATGCTGGGTGTGTTCTTCAGCAGGTTGAGATACACCCCACCAGGCGTCCTTCGCCTGCTGCCGTCCATGGTGTATACACCACCGCTTTCCTCCAGTGTGGCCGTCTCTCCGAGCAGCTCTATGGCTTTTTTCTTTCCGATGATTTTGACAATGCGCTCTATCAGGTCTTTCTTTGGCTCTTGCAGCCTGTGTGCTATCTCGTCCGTCACCTTATCTTCGGGGTCGTCCTCTGTGATCTCATACCGGCCCTTGATGTCCATCTCCGCCCGGGGGCCCAGTCTCTCTTTAGCTGGCCTCTTCCTCTTGGCATCAGCTCCTGTCCTCTCCTGCGAGTCCCGGCCCTTCATGTACTCCTCCAGCTGAGCGTCCAGCATGCTCACTTCTCCATCATTATTCGCCTGTCTCTCCTGCTCCCTCTCCTTCTCCATTATCTTACGGGCCAGAACAAAGTTATACGTCTCCACGTTTCTGCTGGACATGCTCACTTCACCTTCCATGCCAAATATGCCCAGCTCTGCAGCGACGGCATCCTGGCACTGCTCCTGGACCACAGAGCCCCAAATGTTGTTCACCTTGCGGCCTCCAGGCGCGCCGGGGACGGGCATGCGGGTCGGCTCCGACCGGGTGGTGCAGGCAGGCCGCTGGGGGACGTTGGATACTTTCTGCCGCTTCCGGCGCCAAACAGTCGCCTCCTCGTCCGACGAGTCTGGGTCACTGTCGCTGGACTCCACCGTCCTACCAGTGCTGCGGTAGGCAGCGGCAGAATGCTGGGCAGCGGCTCTGTCGTGGAAGGACTGCCCGCTGAAAGCTGGAGGAACCTGGGGTCGAGCTTGCGCTGCGGCGGCGGTTCCCATCTCAGTTTCCGAGCTGGACTCAGAAATCTCCCCATCTTCCAGATCACCTTCCATTAGATCTCCGCCACCAGCCATTTCTTTTCTGGAAGCCACACCACAGATAATTGCTTTGACTGCTGGTTTAATGCATCAGCTAAAGTTTAGGCTACGAATTAGCAACAATAGCTAACACAACCATTAGTTAGAAGCTAGCGATGCTACGGAACTTAATATTAAACCCGACAAAGAATCAAACTACTCTCAGTTAAAACAGAAATGCATTCATATATGTGGCACGTTAGGTGGTAACGTTAGCTGACTCTGTGCTTTGCATGAAATTGTACTTCAGTCTTGCTTGGCTCTTCCACTCACTGTGAACAGCTATGATGAGGTTGACAATCTTGAGACCCGCTGGAGAGAATTCGCGCTAGACTAAAGCCACCCTTCCGCCTTCCAACTGTCACACCCTTTCAAAATAAACCTGACCACTGGGTCACTTTCTTCAAACAACAACACAAAACAAAGTCAAGTATATTTATATATATATATATATTATATT